CCCCAAAACCCCAAAACCCCAAAACCCCGGAAAGTATTATATTGAGATTACGATAGAAATACGTTATTGCATAAAAATACATAAATTTAAAAGATATAGTCACAGGCACTTACATTAATTATATTAATATTTACTACTAGTCACTACATAATGAAACAGACATTATTGCTAACACTCTCTTTTATTGGATTTGTAGTTTGCAAGGAATAAGCTTATGCTACTCATTTTGATGATATGGACTCACCTTACGGAGGCTGCGGATTGCCATCTTCATTAGTCACATTTCCACACTATCTCGCTCTTAATGTTCAAAATACACCTGGGGATTATGAAAACTACCTACACAGACCTATATATGAAGAAGGCAAAGTTGGAGCCTTTAACAATGGTCATAACTGTGGAAGATTTATCACTGTAACTTTAGGCAAGAAATGCAAGATTCAAAGAACAACTACCCCTGAATCTCTTTTCTGCGATGAAGAGGACCTAGAAGATGATGAGTATACTGGAGCTCACTAGATGTACTAAGTAGCGGATGCTTGCCAAGATGGGCATAAATGGTGTAGGGATGATAAGAATCATGTTGATCTACAGTTCAACTCTCTAAAAAACTTCTACAAATTCCCAAGAAAGATCGATGTGACTAAGAAATGGGGCACTGAAAACAGACAAGTAACATGGGAATACACGTAAGGGCCTCTCACATTAATGGAAATCTATTTTGCTCAGAATGCAAACCCACTTTTACCATTAATCATTATCAGCTAGATAAGCAATGGAATTGATAGAGTTCAGCAAAGAATAAATGGCTAGTGGGTAGATGCCACAATGAATGGAGATATGGGTCAATAATGGATACTCCACACTACCAAAGATAATACTTATCAAATTAAAGTTATTGACGTTAATGGAAAAGCTTATCATGAAAAGGCATATACATTTACTTTCAATAGATCAATTTGCAAGAACCTCTAATGTGGAATAGATCATGTTGCTTTCAAAGTCAATATGATAAGAAGTGATATCCTATACTTTATTGACAAGCCAAAGGTTTTGTAAAGTGAATAGTTATTCCTAGCATAATGATTAATGCTAAAATAATGATTAGTGAAATGAATAAAATTTTAATCTTAACTGCTGTTGAAATAATTGCCTAATTTCTTAATTTTCCTCAAAAATTTACTTAAAATAAATCAAATGGAATATCTTTAACTCAAATTTTGATGAGTATTCTGATAACTTATAATCTTATCAAATATCTAATTATGAATCATAACTTATTAGTAAAGATTTTTCTGATTCCATTTATTAAATCCTTCTTGAATCAGTAATATTCTCGTTATAAAAGTCTAATATCTTGTCATTCATAAAAGCAAATTATTCTTGTCTTTACTATGATTTATCATTCTCAACTGGACTCTAACCAGTAATCGATTCCTTAATTGAAATGGGTAGTTTGTTATGTAATTCATTTTCTTATGAATTTTTAGCAGATGATATTTTTTAATTTTAAACAGAGGTCATAATATCTATACTATTTGTGCTTTTTGAAAAAATAATCTATGAAGGCTGATCTTATCTTTTCTATGAAATCTAAATACTTTTGTTATCAATATATTGCAAGTATCTTTGTTGATCAATTTAAAATTTACTATTCATATCCTCCTACTTATGAACTTAAAATTCTGTGCAAGGTGGTACTTCATTCTTCAGTTAATAATCACATTATTTTGGATCTTAAACTTGTAATTCATAATCATTAATTGAAATTTTTTTATTAATATCATCTTACTATCTGATTGTTAAACCTCGTTTAACTTTTTCATAATGTAAATTGTTAAAGGATGTTGCACTTTAAGTGGTCTTTTGTTTTTATATTGTCTGATTGTTTAAATTACTATTTGTCATCAAAATATCTGTTTGGTTTATAGAATTAAAGGTCATACCTATTTACTCTTTAAGATAATATTAATTTGAATTTATTTTCATCTGCCTATGTTTTTTATTAAATTTCTTTTTAATTAGTATGTTTTATTCAGATTTTTTACTTTCTTAATAATTGACTGTAATTTCCTTAATTCTATCATTATCCAAAAGTTCAAGCTATGACTTAGAAAGTTTGTCTTCCATAATTGAAGAAGTTTCTTAAAATCTTTAAGATGTGGCATTATAGTTTTTGTTTAATGCTAACTCAGATTAAATTGAATTTTTATGATTTAATATCTTTTTCT